TTAATGACCCTCTCGCAAAGATTTTACAGGCAGTGCTATAGACTGCCTGCCCATGTACAATAATAGCAGAGGCAACAGAGGCGCCGAATCCTAACCACTAGACCACCATCAGAAGCTATAAGTACACTCATAATACTCGCTCCTCTATTTGTGTCTCCTGAGTGTGAAAGATACCTATTAAATTTGGGTGAAAAGGCCTGGATTCATCTTTATTATATATAAGATATCAGATTATATATAGCAAATAAGCATAATTAAATGATTTCCGAAGGATCATGTGACAATGAAGACTGGAGTAATGGGTGCTAAAAAAAATTAGTCATGACAGGAATAAATTACATTTTAACATATTTTAAAATATTTCACAATGCAGTACTTTTGAACAAATAAATGCAGCCCTGCTGGGCATGAGATACTTTTTCAAAGATTCTGATAACAAACTAAATGTTAGAAACATTACGATGTAAAATTGACAAATATTTAAAAATTAGCTTTTGTTTAAATGTATTCTAAATAATCTATTAAATTCCAAAAATACACAAAAGAAGCATTCTGACAAGCTGTCTCAACACTTTTGGGCCCCACTGTTTAGGATATTTAGGAAAGCTAGGGTGCGAATGAATACACATTTGTATAAACTAATAACATGATGTACAAATGAAATGCCCCGGTTGTCAAAATTATACCTCATCTCTTAACAAGTATTGGTCGAAAAAACCAGGGCGGATAATGATAAGGTATCTCCAATCCTATTACTATCGGGAATCTGTGAATGAGCAGCATGTTGAACGTGTCTGTGTCTTGCTGTGAGTTGAAACCTCGGCATCGGGTGTATAGATCATTACTTGTCTGACTGTCTGACAGGCCCCTTCACTGCTCTGTGCCTATGGAAGATAATCATCGGCAGAGCCGGGTAACAATGAACTCGTTCCCGCACTCCAGTATTTCCAGGAGAGCACATCAAACGCACCTCTTCTCCCAACACAAAAGAAGCCATCTCCTTTGATGTCACTGTCAAAGACTGAGTTTTGTTTCCGTCGCCTTCAGAAACTCCACCCCTTCTCTCTCTCGTTCTTCGTCTCAACAAAAAAAAAGAGGAGAAGTAAGAAGTGTGCGCTTCTGAATCGTGAGAAAAAGATTTTCACATGAAAAGTGCACCTGCGTTGTTGGCGAGGCCTCGTATACTCCGCTGAGAGGCAATCAAACAAATACTTCACTTTTAACGTGATCGTCTGGGGACTGCGCGAGCGTCTCTGTCATGAACGATGTACAGTTTCAGCGAGAGATTTTTATTTTTGAGCCAATTAAACCTTCTGCTAATTACTCTCAGCGTGTTTAGGGCGGGGGAGGGGGTATGTCTTAGATTATTGCGGATTTTGCCTGTCTTTTGAAGGTAATGACAGGAAAAGCCAATTAATAGCGACAACTGACTGAGAAGAGTCAGGATGCATGTAGGCCTCTCCCCTCAGAACATCCAATGGTGTTACAATCACAAACACCAGACAGGTCCTCAAAAAAAAAAAAAAAACCCAGGGAAAATTTTAT